GGAGGGAGGGAGGGAGGGAGGGAGGGAGGAAAGAAGGAAGGAAGGAAGGAAGGAAGGAAGGAAGGAAGGAAGGAAGGAAGGAAGGAAGGAAGGAAGGAAGGAAGGAAGGAAGGAAGGAAGGAAGGAAGGAAAAAACAGACTTCTTTAGGGCAGTGATATTCTTATTTTCTAGTTCCCTATTAAAATTCCTTAGCAAAGAAATGAAGGAAGGCTAAAGAGTGGAAAGAACGAAATAACCCCCCAGGGTTCTGGAGAATGATTTTTCTTTTCTAAATTACCATTGATTTCTATAATCAAAATGTATTTGGTCTTTGTGCCTTATAAAATTATGAACATTATACAGTCATGTTAGAGTAACATGTTTTTCTTTAGAATAAACTTATTACTTGAAAATCATCTATATTAAATATGTTTTTCTAAATGAAACATATTTTAACTTTATATTTTACAGTGTTTACTAAGTTTACATGGAATAATCTGCATTCATGATGACAAATGATATTTCTCCAGTGCATCTAAGGCTATATATTTGTGTCAGATTATTTTCTTATCTGATTTATTATTTATATAATGAATAATATGGGGTTTCAGGGGTTGGATACGATTTCATTAGGACCTGCATGATAATTTTAGTATTGTGACCACGAGCTGATAATAAGTGAAATGTTTGCCTCCAGACAAGTTAGACTGGCTGTAAGGAAATTGAACAAGCCTGAACTATTATGGTTGTTTGGGTTGTACTTGCTCTGCATTCTGTCCCAGACAACAAAGATTAGGAGAAACTATACCATAAGTAGTTTCCTAAAGCTTGCATTTTGATGCACAAAATAGTATTTTCTTATACATTATTGTATGAATTGTTATACTTGTGGCATGTTGTATGTAAACCCTTGGTATTTTTTCTCAAAAAAATAGTCTTAAGTTAACCCTTTAATATTAAGGAAGGAAAATTTGGATGCTATATAGTGCAGGAAAGAGACAAGCATAAACAAATCTAAATAAATGAATAATTTGTGCCTCAACTTTTAAACTAATGTATAAAATAAGAAATATGTGTATTACTTTATTTTGTATGCAATTGACCATTTTGTGGTAATATAATTAAGCCTGAATTTCAGAAATTATATTCATCAACATTTTTATATTGAAGTTTAAATTTGACATGTGAATGAACAATATTGTATGTTGAAGTCAAAAACCTGGGTTCATTAGAACTTTCTGGAGCCCTGGCTGGTGTAGCTCAATGGATTGAGCATGGGCCTGTGAATGAAAGCATTGCCAGTTTGATTCCCAGTCAGGGCACATACCTGGGTTGCAGGCCATGTCCCCAGCAGAGGGTGTACAAGAGGCCACCACACATTGATGTTTCACTTCCCCTCTTTCTCCCTCCATGCCCCTCTCTCTAAAAATAAATAAATAAATATTTTAAAAATAAAGATTTACAGAAATGAAATAAGTTTTTTTAAAAAGGATCTTTCTGAACCGTTATTTCCTCTTAATTACTTCATAGTATTGGAAATTAAATAACTGACTTGAAACATTATAATTCTACCGATGTAAATAATAGTCTTCTGTCAGTTAAAACTTGTTTACCTGAACTTACACATTTACTTTAGCTTACATGCTTGTTTTATATTTATCATACACAATTTTAGACCTATTCAATGGGCACATAGGATTCTTTTTAACTATCATTTTTTATAGAAATGAAGTAAGTATGATATACTCTATCTTCAAAAGTTTGAGCTGACAACATAATTTAACAATTGAACAAGTATTTAGAGGAAATTGCTTTCCTCACTGCTTGATGGTATACTTGATAGAAATAGACTTTTACAATGCTTTCTTGACCTTAAAAATTTCTTATATTTGTTTATATCTAAATTATTTATCTTAATTTTTAAGTGTATGTTTTATATGGAAAAATAAAGTTAATCATGCTAAGCTTTTAAATTTTCCCCAAATGAAAGACTGCAAATAATAAAGTAGAAAAAGCCTTACATTTGGTGTTTATTTTGCATATTCAATAATGAGGATGCATGTCATAAATCAATAGTCCACTTCCATTTTATAGTTTGGATTTTTAAATCTTTATCTAGTCAAGTAAAAATAATTAAAGTAGGGAAACTACTGTGATTTTTATATTCTTCATGAATAATAAGCATTTGGTATAGTACCTCTGTAATAAATTATTAAAAGAGTCAAATCATGAAATAATATCATGCAATGGGTCAAAATTATTTTTATAGTTACCAGTATAAGGATCAAGCATGCAGGTTCTTATTAATACACCATTAGCCAGGTCACACAATGAAAGCGAATAAAAGGGCAATCGTGAATGACATTTCTATCAACTCTGGAACTGTCAACCTCTATTATGTCCTTGGGGCTTTGCACTTTTTGGCTTTCAGACATCTGTGCTGCCTTGAATGGAGGAGAATATTAAGAGTTCCAGTGGATCTCTTGCTCTATTACTGCCTTGAGTAGTCATTTTTTAGTATTCTTGTGCAATAGTTCTTAGTGCTTAAAACGCAGCCGGTGGCATTTCACCCCATCAACACCACATCTGCATCATCTTCATCAACACCACCATTCCTTCTCTACACGCACACACACACACACGCTAATTCCCTGTGCTCAGAAATCTCTGTTGCAAATCTGTGAATATATAACCTCCTCTCTTTTTTCTGTGCAGTCAAGTGAAACAGCCACCTTTAATTTCTTCAAGCATCCCCTCAAAACTTTTGCAAGAGTTGTGATGCTGTCAAAGGAAGTTTGTAGGCTGTCATGACAAAAGCCAGTGGTTTAACAAGGAAGGTAGCAGCAAGCAGGTGCAATGTTTGATGGGGGGAAAGTGCCTCTAATATTTATAGCTGGATAGTAAACAATGAAGCTCCTACCTGGCTAAATAACAGGGAGAAAATATGGGTTCTAATCCTTAATGGCTCACTCAGTCTCAGTAGCATTGAGTTTATTATGTATATGCATGTTTATATTTATTATTATTAGCATATATAGTATGTTGTTATAAAATGTTAAAGATTGAAAAAAATATTATGTAATTCTTAATGTTACCTCTTTATCTTGAGGAAGTTTTTAAGGTGTTTTGAAGCCAATAAATATATTTTTAATAATCTCCCTGTATATTATGTAAAGCAGTATCTCTCAAATGCTGGTGTGCATCACCTGGGAATGCTCATTAACACACAAACTGCTGGAACCCACCTCCGAAATTTCTAGGAGAGAGACTTTGCCTTTCTAATAGGTCCTGGTGGCGCTGGTGGTACTAGTTTAAGGATCACATTTTGAGTAGTCATTTATACTGGAGTAAAAAAAGGGAAATAATACCTCTGGACTTCTGCCAACCTTAGCACCTTATACACAGATTATGGCTGATCAGCTCAACTAAATGTTCAAATTGAGGAATGTAGGAGTGATTTTACCCATGAACTTTTGAAAATGCTAAAGTAAACTTTCCAAAATGATATATCAGGCCAGTCATGGAATTATCTTACTTCACTTTCTTCCAAGGTTCTATGAATCCATATAAATTTGGAATAATGGTCATTAATTTATTATACATCCAACATAATTACAGACTACCATTTGATACCTCTTGGGTTTTCAAGTAACTGCTATTTTCTGTGAAACAGAAGAGAGAATGGAAAAAAGTGTTAGTCTGTTTTCCTAGCCTGTCCATGAGTCTCATAAGTACAGCTAACTATAGAATTTAATAACATTAAACCACTTTTAAAAATACAAATTTGAAATAGATGTTATATTACACCATTTAACATTTTAATAAAAATGCCTTCAGTGTTTTTGAAAATATATACATAAAATTTTGTGCACACTAATTAACATGTTTATTAGCATGTCCCCATGTCACCAAATCATACCATTTGATTCTAAATTGTTCTACTTTCAAAAAGTCATCCTGCTACTAGTGGGAGATATTTGATGTACTTAATTCATAAAGATTGAACAGTACTACATGGAAAATATATTTTTATTCTACAATAATACCTACATAAAATTGGATTTAATGTAAACACTAAAAATAAATGATATATTTCAATTTGAGAGAACAAAAAATAATAACCTTTTATTTGTAATGAAAGAAAAATGATGTAATGTTAATATCCAATTATTATATATTGTGATTAAAATTTCAGTGATAATTGTGTCCATAAGGGCTAATATACATACATAATAAAATCTAAACAATGAAAAATGACCTATAGAATAATTGAAAACCTCTATTCCTACTGAACTGACTACATACAAATCTTTATACTATCATGTAGTACACCATAAACAAAATCTGTAAAACAAATTTGGATTTTAAAAATGTAATGTTAAGTGTTTAGAGCAGTGTTGCACCTAAATAAAGCATATATGTTTGTATAATGTTCATTATATTTATTTTCAATATAGGTTAAAACCAAAAGTACTTCTGTGAAAATAAGAAAAGGGGTTATTCTATAAGACAGTTAGAAAGCTTTCTCTTTTTTGTATTTAATTTGGAGAGCAGCTCTGATCAAAGGTATGCACCATTTAACTCCTCCATCACAGATGCTTCCGGCACTCTGCCTAAGCATCAGGGTACAAAGATGTTTGGACCCCAACCCCTGTTCTTTGGAGGCTGGAAAAAACCTATCTGCACCATAATTTTATATGAACTATGCGTTGTCTCTCAATGAACATGAAAGTAAAAATAATAGCTCTTTCAGAATATTTCTTACAGGTGATATCACGTGCTTTCTGGAGAGCCTAGTGCACGTGTACCTTATCTTATACAAAAGGTATATCATAATACATAGTTGAAAGCGATGTTTTTTTGACAGCTAGCCAAACATTTGTACTGTTCGGATTGCATGTTAAGATCACTGATTGGTAGAGTCATTTGTTGGGAAGTGACAGACGCCATACCTGTGTTTTTCTAGACATTTTAAATCAGCTTTTCCTTACCACAGCTCATGTTCTGATGATCATTGCAGGATGAAGTGGCCCAGCCACTGAACCTATCAGCCAAACCCAAGACCTCTGATGGCAAATCACCCACATCACCCACCTCTCCCCATATGCCAGCTCTGAGAATAAACAGTGGGGCAGGCCCCCTCAAAGCCTCTGTCCCAGCAGCGTTAGCTAGTCCTTCAGCCAGAGTTAGCACAATAGGTAAGTTCTGTTTCTTTTGTTCTTGCTGATTTTCTGTTTATGGCAATTGAATGGAATCATCTTTTAATGGCAAATCACGCTTACCCTATGCATGGCTTTAGTTCCATACAAGAGTTCCAATTTGATGAACCTCATAGGTCTGTTTTAAACATGCAATTGAAATCTATACCTGAACCCCAAGTGACAATGCCCCCCTGAAAATCAATTGAACTGCTTATGTGTATTGACCTACTTGATGTTCTTTAGCTTATATGAAAGAAGCCTAATGACTAATCACAGAGAGCATTGGTTCCAGAATGTTTTTGTTAGGTGACTTGCATTTTCCATCACTGAAATTTATTTCTCTTTTTCACGATGTGTACAAAGTATACATGATAATGAAATACCTTCTGCCTGTATCAGCAGTCAATCATCAGGATGTGAAGTTTGTTTAGTTCCATACTGCTTGAAATTTATCAAAGTATTATAAAAGTGGGTAGCTTTATTTTTCCACAATTTTCATTTCAGTAGAGTAAACAAACATTGGAAAATGCTTCCATGAGCTTTTAAAATTTTTCAATACTTTATATTTTAGTAACACATAAATTTAGACTATAATACTTACTTAAACTCACATTTATTGATATGTTTATTCTGCAGATAGATATGAGGAGGCTAACACAGACCAGCCCTCAAGTAGCTCAGGGTTTAGTTGTGGGGGAAGTCAGCTTTATTGTACAAGTCAGCCATAGCCAGTTACATTCAAGAGCACATAATTAATCCTTTGGTCATAGAAAGGAGAGTGTTAAATTCTATTTGGGAAGGATCAAGGGAGGCTAGGCTGGGGATAATTTAATTCAAATGGAGCCTTGAAGAAAAGATATGTTCCTAGACCTTTTAAATTGTGAGAAAAAAAGTAAAATAGTACATTTTTGAGAAATATACTGATCTGGCTACATATAGAGTGAGTGTGTAGTGGAAAGTGATCAGAGCTAAAACTGAAAGGGGCAGATGGAATCTGAGTGAATGCTACCCTAAAGAAATTTTGACTTTTTCTCCAGACAGCAATCTGATCAGAACTTTAAGAAGAGTTTTGGCAGCAGAGATAGGTTGGAAACAGGGAAATCATTGTTTTATTGTTGGAGAAGAATAAATGGCATGAAATAAAAATATCCAGTGATAAGCAGAGGGGAGAATAGATGGCAGAGATATTGTTAAAGAAGAATTGGCATAACTTAACTACAATAGAATGTACCTGGTGAGGTTCAAGTTGGAGACAGAGGCTAAGATTTTGAATGTATAAAATGAGGATAGTGCCTTAACCGTGAGAGGGGAGACCAGAATGGAAGCAGATTTGGGGAAAGCTGTAATAAATAATAAATTTGAAGCACAAGGAGCCACTAATGTAGAGTTATTTATAAAGAAATTGTAAATATAAGCCTGATATTCAAAAGGATTGCTATAATTTTTGACATGAAAATTATTTCTTATTGAGCTTGTTGAAGTCATCAAAGCAAGTAATTTCACATACAAAAAGAAGAGTGTGTATGGTAAGAAGAAAAGTGGGCTAAAGAATCATAGATAAGGACAACAAACTCACAATTAACAACCACACCTAAAACAAAAGCAAACTAAGCGGACAGCTAGATCAGGAGCAGAACCATAGGAATGGAGATCACATGGAGGATTAGCAACAGGGAAGTGGGAGAAGGGGGGAGAAGGTACAGAGAATAAGTAGCATAAATGGTAGGTAGAAAATAGATGGGGGGAGGGCAAGAATAGTATGGGAAATGTAGAAGCTAAAGAACTTGTGACGCATGGACATGAACTAAAGGGGGGAATGATGGGGGAGGGGGTGTGTAGGGTGGAGGGGAATGAAAGGGGGGAATGGGACAACTGTAATGGCATAATCAATAAAATATATTTTTTCAAAAATCATAGATATTGCCCACTGTTCTAGTTATCTCCTGCTACCTGACTAATCAAATCAAAACTCAATAGCACAAAACAACCAACACTTATTATCTCACAGATGCTAAAGGTCAGGGATCTGGGAACAGATTAGCTAGGTGCTTCTGATTTAGGGTTTCTCTTATGGTTGCAACCAAGATGTTAGCCAGGGCTGCAGACCTCACTGGGGGTGGCTGATAATTTTCCAAGAAGACTTACTCACATGACTGTTAGCTGGAGAGCTCAGTTCTCTGCGGCATGGGTCTTCCCATATTGCTGCTTCTACATGGCAGCCCCAGATTGAGTGACAGAGAGAGCACAAAGAGAAAGCCACAGTTCCTTTAATGACCTGGTCTCCAAAGTCACACACAATCAGTTCTGCTTTATTTTTTATTTATTATAAGAAAATCAAAAAGTCTAGCCCAACTCAAAAGAAGGGGAATTAGGCTTCCTATCTAAGAAAAAAATAGTCCAAGAAGGATGGGTTATTAATAGTATCACACTTGCAGAAAAGTTAAAGATGATGAAGAAGAAAAAAAGCATTAGGATTTGCTTCGAGCTCATAGATAGGCAGACTCAGACAGAGGTTTTAGTAGAAGTTTTCAGCAGAATTCCAATTACAAATATTTGAAGAATATGGGGAATAAAGTACAGTTGATATATAAACCCGTCTCTTTAAAGACTGGTGTTGAGAAGTGATTGTGAGAAAGCTGAATAGTGACAGATTTTAGAAATATCATATGATGCAGCAATGATAAGAGATGATGAAAGAGAATTAACCTTGGAAAGGAGAACAGCCCATTATATTTTCTGAGACTAAAGGAAATGAAGAAAACAAGGGTAAAGTTATAGAGAAATTATGGGTTAGATAGAGAGAAAGCCGAATGGGTCTATTTCAATTGCTTCCATCTTTGCAAAGTAGAATTCTGGGTTGTTTGCCAAGAGGAAGTCAGTCTGGGGCAGTGCTGCAGCAGTGAGAAGAGAAACAGTGAAAACTTAAGATCGGAGAAGTTCGAGAAAGGTTTGGGGTGTATGTAGGTTCCTTGTTATCATGCACCCTTCTGTCATGGTCACGCTCTCAGGGAGTCTGCTCCACATCCCAAATGGACACCAAGATAAGGTGTGCTTTTATGTCCTAAGTAGGTAAAAGAAAGAAAAAGATTTTAGTTGGCAAGAATGATTTCTTTCCACAGCAGACATGAAGGCTCATAAATATCACAGTGTTGGTATATGAGCCACTTGTGTAATGTCATCAGAACTAGAATATTAAACTAATGGACTAACTAATGCATTTGCATTTGCATCTTTATCATATGAGGATTTTGTACTTCAGCATTCCAAGCATTAAGCATGACAAAGTATTTTTGAAAGGCAAGAATATATTTAATAGTATTTATCATCTGGCTTTCTCCACTCCTGAAACTTCTCTTATTTTGTTCCCCAAAACATTCCTTCACCACATACACAACATCCCTCATATTTTTCAAGGAGTTGAAGCCACTGTAATTTACTTTTCTCTCTTCAGTAAATGCAGATGTTGAGAGCTGAAACTGTAATGAGTAATAATGTAGTTGGATAAAAGCTGTGAGCATTAATGGTGCTGCAAAGGTCACTCCTGAAAGAAGAATTAATGTGTTATGCCATTAATAAAGCATGGAAAACTGTGAAGCAAAAGATAACTTAAGATATTGTTAATGACATGGGGCTCTTTGTCACATACCTATCAGCTATAAATATGGAAAGTGAGTTTTTGAGGTTGGTGACCAGTATTACATTTTATTATATAAGAATGCCTTTGATATGGTGGGCAAATGATAGGGGGCACCAGAGAAAGGGAACCCATAAAAGCTCTGAATGGTTCAGAAGAATGATGGATAATTTTAGAATATCTGGGCCAGATGTTATATTTCCCTCATTGGACTTTTTCACTTATGTTGCATACATCTAGAACATTTTTAACTTTTTTCAATGCATTTTAATCTATTTTCTCTCTGCCACAAACTTTAAAATTTTAGACCCTTAACTAGACAGAGAAAAATATGCATATCATGTAGTCAAAACTTGTTATTTTACAGATGAGGAACAGAGACCTCATGTGGCTAAGTGCTTACCAGGTATTCTAAGTGTCTTACAGTGTAGACAACTCTCTGTGATTCTATGTTTATTACCTCTGTTTCATTTCAAAGAAACAAATGTAAATAAAGACCAATTAACTTGCCCAAACTCCCAGCCAATGAAGGTGGAGGCCTTATAGTCTGAGTTGAGATGTTTTTATTAAACTTGTTTTTAGCCCTGGCTGGTGTGGCTTAGTGGATTGAGCACTGGCCTGAGAACTGAAAGGTTGCTGGTTCAATTCGCAGTGAGGACACATGCCTGGGTTTCAGCTCAGGTCACCAGTTGGGGCCACGTAAGAGGCCACTGATTGATGTATCTCTTACACGTCAATGTTTCTCTCCCTCTCTTTCTCCCTTCCTCTCTCTCTCAAAATAAATAAGATCTTTAAATAGAAAATAAAATAATTTAATAGCTCATTTTTATTGTATTTTTATTGTTATTTATCTTCCTTATACCTTCTTCCAACTTTTCAGTTATATAAGCATGTAGTCTGTCTGTATTACATGCTTTTGTTGGTCATCTATTTAACCTTTAATTCACTCATTCAATAAATGGGTCTTAAATATCATGTCTATGCCATACATTTTGCTAAGTCTGGAGGAAAAGCGTGAAAGTGTTGGACTGGGGCTTTAGATGCCTGCAGTCTCTTCCGCCATGTCTCTGGAAGACACTGGAACGTACTATTCTTATCCTTCATTCCTCAGGGGCATTAACATATGATAAGTGAAATTTTACCTGAGCATATGTAGTATATACAGACAGATTCAATAAAAGGAAGGGAAATATATTTAGTCTATTAATCTGCTAGTTTATTTCTACAACTTGCTAAGTTAAAATATGATGACATGAAGGAGAATATCGCCTCGAATACATTTACATTTTTCATGAGCAAACCTTCTCTGAGTGTGTCATTGAACAAGAATATTGCAATGGTTGCATAGAAAGCCACTGGATTA